CACACACACACACACACACACACACACACACACACACACACACACACACACACACCGCCGCCGCCACTGCCGCCGACGACGACGACCGTGACGTCACCGCCCCCGGTGCTAGATAATTCTACCCGAGTCACGTCCGCTGGGAGAACGTCGAGTAGTGTCGGAAATCCAGACGAAGTGTTTGCAGTTGGAATGTCGGCGCTCACACCCGCGCAGAGGTGACACCGAATGCTCCGCGTAGCACACCGTAATACTCCGACGAGTGGTGCTCGCGAATAAGTCGGCGCCGTGCGTGTACTTCGTTCGCGCCCTCCGTGAGCCAATCGTCGACGAATCAAATGATCGCACTCGCCGGCCGGAATACGAGATCTCGGAATGAAATCACTTTATCGAGTTTCCGCTTCTCTGCGAGAGCGCGCGTACTCCGCGACTTGTTCACATACTTCTCGGGTAATATAGCTGTTAGTTGAGAGGCCAAGTGTAAGACCAAGCCCAAATAGGCGCCCATAGACATTTTCACCTCAACCGTTGACGAATATAGCGAGATTTCTCGAATTGTTCACGCTAATTGCACTGTGTAACCATACAACAGAAATGCATAGAGAGACACTATAGCAGCCTAGACAGCCTAGCGCTGGCAGCCTAGCTAGCAGACACTAGAGAGCCTAACTAGCCTATAGTCAGAGGACGTATATCATATGATATACGTACTTTGCTATAGTATTTCCACGTGGTCACGTGACTTTACCTAAAACTCCGTTTTACGAAGATGACCGAGTGTTTTTCTGAAAATGACAATACGTAGGTCATTCCGTGTTAAAACCGAAGCCAAAGCTCGGCTAATCACAAACGATGGCACGCAGTTATAACCGATATTTTCTTCTTAATAAATATAATTATATATGGGCATTTAATATTACAAAGAACCGCATTTTTATTCAAATGTCTTGACATCTTAGACAACGGAGGCGAGAATATCACCTATATAAACCAATTATAGCTTACATTTGGGTAAAAAAATCATGGCGAATCAGGCAATTCTGGGGCAAAATCAGGGCATTTCGAAAAATATCGAATGCGTGAAAACCCGTTTTACATTCATTACGTGTACGAAGTAAATGATTGTTATAATGTATATAATGTTTTAAAAATACAAACTTTCGTGAAATTTTGGTAAAATCACATAACTATCCCATTTATTAATAGGAAGGTAGATCTCAGCTAGCACCCTGTATTAACAAACTTATTGCAACAATAGAAATTCAGTTCTAGCAAACCACTCTATACGTGAAAGTATCATTCATAACACAACGGCGGGGATGACGACAACGATATGATGCCATTCCTGATGATGATTATAAACATACAATGATAATGTGTTATAACCATGTCTGTTGTTTCACACGTGTTTAACAAAACATGTGAAGACATATTATTAAAACTGTACATCGCGCGGCATTTGTGAATGTTAGCTGTTATGCTGGTACTGTACTCGGCAAATTTGTTCAATCCAAGAATAACGTCAACATCTGTCACTGATTTTTCTGCACCAAAGATTTATGTTCTGAGTTTGCAGCGTGAGTACACAGAAAACAATCACGCGATACAACTACATTACATTGTAGATTACCGGAGCATGTCTGTCTGTATAGATAATTATACATTACTTAATTGCTATACCTAACGTCGTGATCAATATATCAAATCGCCCAGGTTATTTGGATTTTTAACTAGCTGAGAAGCTAATTATAGCTAATCTTGTCAGGTAGGAATTTGAGGATACATTTAGACCCGTTAATACTTACGTTTAATGTAAGAAATTGCAACAACAAATTTACAAATATACACCATAGAAAATTCGTGCATGATATGACGGAGACAGACACAGATGACTCGTTTTTGCGATCTATAGAATAGGCACTTCCACCTCTCATATCGCTCTCTCTCTCTCTCTCTCTCTCTCTCTCTCTCTCTCTCTCTCTCTCTCTCTCGCTCTCTCTCTCTATCTATTTATTTATCTTTTTCGCATTTTTTTATTTATTTTTCTCGTTTTTTTCTTTCTCCTTTTCGCTTTTCTATTCTCGCTTTCCTAGAGCGCTCACGCTGTGCGGCTTTTGCGGCAAGGCGCGGCCTGTGTCGAATTGCGCGCGTGCGCGTGTGCGGTAAGATGTTATACGTGCTGGTGTGTTTGCGTGAGGGGCGTGCGTGCTTTGCGTGCGGTTTGTGTGGTCTGTTGTGTGGTTGTGTGTGGTGGTGTGTGTGTGTGTGTGTGTGTGTGTGTGCGTGTGTGTGTATTGTGGTCAGGCGGACATGATCCTGCAACCAGTGACGACATTGCGACACCAAATCGACGCATGAAATCCACTATACTTCGATGTCTATATGGGCAAGAGCTAATAATAATACATGTAATCAGGAGTTAATAAAGACAAATTTGTCTTTATTAACTCTTGATGTAATGTATAATTATGTTATGTATAATAATAATGCTCTTGATGATCTCCACCCCCGCGCCACAAGCAGCGAGAGATTCCAGGCTACCCCCGTAAACAAGCACTCAGCTGGCGCGCACGCAAATCACGCTGCCGACAAATACGCCGAGGAAAACAAATTAATCGGTCGGACTTTTCACCCGCGCCCCCGCAAACCTCCTACGTCACTGTGTCTATTTACAGCCGTGGTGACGTCACCCTACGACGTCACAGTGAGTACGGAATTAGCGGAGCAGCTACGCGCGAGAGCCCCGTTCGCAACTTCCACTGGAGTACGGTCGGCGAAGCGGTAGAACAGGTTAATTGCTATATTTAACTTAAAGTGACGGGTCGAGCAAACCGCATGATCATGCTATTTTAGACTTATGATAGCTCTAACTATTTATAATATTTCTGACTGGAGGCTCCAGATTCACTTCCTTAACAATGACGCTATCAACGGTTTACAGCTAAAGAAGTCACCGTACTCGAAGTCACCAGAACGTCAAGCATACAATTATTCTGTTACGGAAACCTATATATATATATATATATATATATATATATATATATATATCAAGAGCTCATAATAGAGATAGCTCTTATATGAGTGAGAAGCCACCGATGACACCGAGTGATAAGCTAAGCGAACACTCATTGGGTAGCGCCAGTAGAACTGCACCACGTAGAGGCGGTCCAGACATCCCCAGCACACCTGTCCTTACAACCAATACAATGCCGCACAAAGGTGACTGCCGATGAAGTGGGAAGCGACTACAAGAGAATGCACTATATCGGCAAGGTTTCACATCCACCGGTCGTGTCGCAAATAGAAACAGGCCCGACTCCAGTATTCCACTCGCAGTGCAATCTCATTACGCAGGGCTTCCTATATCTATAGACACAGGCTTTCAGCAGGCAAGAGCATTGCCCTGCTGTTGACAACAATAGAACTAGATCGACAGGTGTGTTTATGCACATCACTCTGTATAATAGCAGGATGCAGGCCCGTCTGTGTGCAATGGCGAATTGCACGTCCATAGCTCTGAATAATTCACGCCATACAGAGTTGCACGCTATCGTCAACTTTTTATCATGCATTTTAGGCCATTACAGTTTTGTCGGGATTAAGGTTATTTGCAAACGACGAACCGGTAGGACTGAATATCACCGAATGCCTACACACACGCATTAGTCAGACATATGACGTTACTCGGCCTATGATAATCTCAAATATATTGACCAAGTGTCACTCGACATCGTGGGCGCTTGTGTACATTAGCGCGGTGAGAAGTTAGCTATCTACGGGTGGAGCGCGTAATACTGGCGGGTTCAGGCGAGGAAGGAAGGCATCAGTATCATAACCACCCCCTGGTGCAAGACTAAATACCATAACTGCCGTAAAAAACGCGAAGCGGCTATGAGAATTCCCAGCCACCATTTTGCTTATCGTTTTCCGAACTTAGTGCTAATTAGAGGTCGGAATCAATGAGTGAAAAGGGCGCAATCTTTCATACTGTGATAGCCATAGAGTTAGACATGACCATTTGTTTTCCTATCGTGCACATGCGCAATGAACGCACTTCAATAGTAACCTCGCTAAATGCTAGGTGAACAACCAGGTGTACCAGGAGTACTATCTCACTAACATGAACAACGGGATTACAAACCAACTAACATGAACACCCGGAATACAAATTAATTAACGCGAATACCAGGAGGAGACTACTCTTAAAGCGCTGGTGACGCTGACTACCTCTAGCAAAAATGCACGTTAGCATTGCTGTACAGCGAATGCGACCTACCCATCCATTGCACGCACACACAGACGCAAACACACACCCATTCACGCGCACGCGCACGCACGCACGCTTAAATATATGATAATTTTATATAATTATATATATATATGATAATTTTATATAATTATATATATATATATGATAATTTTATATAATTATATATATATATGATAATTTCTGACACAAAAGAAGATTAGAACTATCAAAGAAACGCGCAGTATTAACTTCATCACATAACTTTTGTATTAAATGCAACTGGTAGCGAACCTAAGCTACAAAAGAAGAAACAAACAGTAAATTGCACAATACGTATATATTTTTATAATTGAAATAAGTCAGTTTTAAATTTATAAAGTAAAATAATCATTTTAAACGATACTCTATTTGCTTGAGAATGAAAGGATTGCAAAAGCTGGCTGCTCGTGAAGAATAGGAAAGCTGACAAGCCTACCATGGCTGCTATGACTTCGATTGTTCATATTCTGGCTTCGGAACATAGGAAATCCCGCCACGCATGAAATAATCAACGCGTTAACGTGCTATTATCCCGCTAAAAAACGCAAACACAGCAGCAGCAACAACAAAGACTACAACAGCATCATCATCATGACGACCACCACCACCACCGGCAGCAGCAGCAGCAGCAGCAGTCGTAACGGCAACAGCCGCAGCATTAGAATCACCACCACCAGCAGCAGTAGTCGTCGCAGTGGCAGCAGCAGTAGTAGTCGTAGCAGCAGCATAGTTGTAGTAATGCAAGCAGCAGTAATTGTAGAAATGGCAGCAGCAGTAGTTGTAGTAGTGGCAGCGGCAGTAGTAATAGTTGTAGTAGTATAGCAGTAGTAGTAGCGTGCCAACAGCTGTAAAATTTTGGACTAAATAATAGCGACTAGCTTTTAATCGGCTCCTTAATGACCACAGCGGCAAAGATAGGTAAAGATATTGGGCGTGAAAAAAATAATACAGCAGATTCATACGATACGTTTAAATCTATAGATTGGTCAGTTATTCTATTCCCATAAGTATAGGTCTATTAGAACGAAATTAATTTTTACCACCACTTAAAGTCAACTCAACATCGGCTCTTTAAAAATTAAAACACAAATGTCTGAAGCAATATGAGCGAAGAATACTCACACGCGTGCGTATACGCACACGCACGCACACATACACACACACACACACACGCACGCATGCACACACACAAGCACGCACGCACGCACGCACACACACACACACACACACACACACACACAGTCACCACACACACACAAACAAACAAACAAACAAACAAACAATCAAACACACACTGCCAAAACACGCCTGCAGTCCCACGAGAGTTTGTCCTGTTTCTAACTTTACGTTCAGTCAAGCTGATATTTATCACTAGCTACCGTTCACGACAGAGACCAAGCCTACTTGAGTCTTGCGCGATAATTCTACTTCATTTAAACCGATTAATGTCGCCCGGTTGTGACTTGCTTGTGCATACCAACAGGAATGAACTTGTATTGCGTACTTTGTACAACATTTACAAAGAACCACATGACTTAGAACTAATTTTCAATTCGCTTAACGTATCAATCTATCTTAATCTTTCTCGCCTTCCCATGAAACGTTTACGCTATCGATGTATTGATGCTCAATATAGGTCAGTAAGGTTAACTGCGCACTCGGTCCTCAGCCCATCCAGCGCATTCCCCACCACCCCTCTGCATGCCACCCGACTCATCCACGCAGAGGCAGCGTACCACGGCGGCCAATTGCTCACACTGATTGCCGTAACACACAAATGCTTTTGAGGCGTACTACCGTGACAGCACAACTAATTGCGATTTCACCTGACCAGTGTTTCGTAGTCATGCCAGTGTGCTCAACACAAACGTCACGTTAACCTAATGAACGAGGCTAACCAGCATATAGGGAAACACATATCGAGCAATAAAAATAATAGCGATAATCGTAGTGGTCGTCAACTGAGAATGCGTGAATATATCAATGTAATAGCGGCCGAATATTCACCCCGTACACGCAACAAAAAAACCTACCTACCCACATACCTACACACACAGAGCCAGTAAATAAGTAGACGCAATATATTTGCAATTACTAGTAGAAGTTAGTGTTTGCTACAAAACGATTTGCTTATTCAATTCACATTTGTTACTCGCTGTCTTTTATATAAATCTTAACACGTTCAGCGCGAAACACGAGTATACACGTTCGAACATTCGCACATCGAACAACGGCGGCTATCTTTCTGCGGCCGTAACTTGGCTGCAACGCTATTAGAACTGCTATAGAGTTCACAAATCCGCCCGTAGGCCTACTATAGCGTGTCAATTAAGGAACGCATGACCCGTTGTCACTTACAACCTGTAATGTTGCACCTGTTACATTATCATCGATAAGACGTCGTAAAACGACGAGCAACAAACTCGAGAGCACTGCCTGCTGCAAGAGAACGCGCCGTGATGTGGCAATTGGTTCGGTTGGGGGTTAGTAGGCTACAGCAGATGTTGGGGGGGGGGGTATGGTGAATCCCAGAACAAATCTCCTTCAAATTATTACAGCATACTCACGTTACTTCTGGCTTCTCTTCTTATGTACCCTCCACCTCCCGCAGCTCATCTCTATCGGCATAACTAGTCAATACGTGTATCTACTTTATATGTATAATTGCAACAAAATATTTTTCTTAGCCAATATTGGTCATGCGCATATACAGATCTGACCACATGCTACAATGTAAAAAAAATTCCAGAAGATTAAGAGCCTTATAATTATTAAAGTAAAGCACTGGTCATTGCTATTTTATATCAAACTACGCGTGAGTATGATCTCTATCCATGTGAACTAACTAATGTGGCATTTGGCAAATACTTGGCATGCGTGACCACATATTTTACACTATACCTCGTCATCGTGGAATCATGGCACATTGCGCTCCTGATATTTATTAAAGTGAACAGCTGACGTGGATATGTTTCATATAAACCTACGCAGTGATATCTGTTTTTTGCTTTATATGTATAATTTCAACCAAACAATTTTCTGTTTGATAACAATGAGCCTGCGGAAATATTAATCATAGAAATTTTTTTTTGACGATTTGGCTCGCCAATAATGCCTCTCATGGGTTATTTGCTCTTGATATTTTGTACACACTTCTACCAAGTACATGAACAGCACTATATTTGCCTAAATACGCAACTGTAAAAATTCTGAAACAATAAAAGGTTTATATTGTGGCGAAAGTAAATGAAGAAACTTGGCTAGCAAATAATGTTACGTGTTTGTTTCCATACTGATGCGCACACGCGTCCTTGCGCGCGTCTGTTCGTGCACGAGTGCACGCGTACGTGTATGCGCATGTGTATGCGCGCGCGTTTGTGCGTAAGAGTGTGTGAGCTAGAGCCTGTGCTGGCATAACAAAACGCAGATGAGTCGACGGAATCTAACCTTGTGCTGTTGTGACGCATTTGGTCTCTCGAACGAGCGATAAATCAAAAACAGACAGAGAGCCCCGGTCTAAACCTTCAATAGTAACCATTGTATTTTATACAGGTGCTTGGATGCGATTTCTATAGACACGGGATGCATATTTTTCCTATTTATGAAATAAAATTGCTGGGTCAATAGATTGTGGCAATTAAGCCAGGCTATTCACATCCACTAAATCTACTCTTGGTGATCATGCATGTATATACCCTCATGTATACCTAGCCGATAAATCCGTATAACAGTCTCGATTTAGTATTCTAGATCGCGTGTTCTCCATCACTGGTGGCGCCGCGCGGACGGCGACAAAATTATGTCTGTCACGCCAAATGCATTTAATTCTCATTTTTAAATTATTATTCATTCATCGAATATAGATGCAGCGGGTACAGATAAGGATTTTCCGCGAGGATCTAGCTTCTACGTTATATGTGATGAATAATTGCAATATAGTAGTTGGGGATAATGGCTTGCTTGCATTTATTACCGTACAATTTTATTTTTTATATTTTTATATTGAGATCGGTACATGTGTTTATATGTATTATGTTTAACCGCCTCTGTGGGCCCCGAGACTTGCGCCTATGCAGGGATTGATTGTATGCATGGTATTCAGTGTAATAAAATATACATTGTTATACATCGATGCTAGAATCGATAATATCGATGGCATGAACAGATCTATCGTAACATATGTATTATATATATATATATATATATATATATATATATATTCTATGCATATAGGGAATACATGATAGATTATTACGATACAATGCGCATTATTTGAGTATAATATGTACGTGGATGCTTTACTACTATTTATTCACAGAGTTTATGAACGTTCGGCACTTCCTTTCTTCAGTCATTTTGGTTATTAATAATATTATTCGCGCGATTATACATATTACGATATTATTCATATACGATATATACATATACAGTACATATTATAATATAAACATATTATAATATGTTTAGGATATATATATATGTTTATATTATATATAACATATAATATAATACATATACATCATATATACATATACATCGTATATACATATACGATATTATACATATACGATTAAATATTATTCGCGCGATTATACATGTTCATTCTACTAGTAGTAAAGTTCATCGTATTGTTATTATCAAAATACGTTTTGTAGGAGGGTTTTATAAGCGGTAAATTAAATTTGACCTATTTACAACGGCTGATCATGTATATTACGAATTATCTACAGAATTCAACCCTGTATTCCATTGCGCGCGTGTGATTGGCTGCAGCTTCGTAGACGTGTCGATATGTGACAATATGGCGGCGCACATCTATGCTTCTTGTAGTTGATTTTTAGCAAATATATCTTTCATACGGAATTTTCCGGCGTAATTGCATCGTTAATATTGTTTGCGTAAGTAAGTGACTAGGCTTTCACTGCAGCCGCAGCGATAACATCACGCATGTATCATCATAATCGTGTAGTAATGTCTTTCTGTCTTCGGAATCGATATAATATGATGAGCATTAGTATTACTAATATTAATTCCTGAAATTGGCCGCATCCTGGACCCTAGCCCTAGGCTAATTCACAGCGTGCATTTATTGGTGCAAATCCACTTTAGGCACCTTAGGTATCACGAAGTGATGCACAGATTTCTGTGTATCATCAACTGATGCACAGACTTTCCGTATATCAAGGAATGTCGAATGATGCAAAAACCCTAACCCTAACTCTAAGTCATAAAGTATAACCTTAGGTATCACAAAGTGTGTTAGGGTTAGAGTTAGGGTTAGGGTTTTTGCATCAACCATATACGGAAAGTCTGTGCATCAGTTGATGATACACAGAAATCTGTGCATCACTTCGTGAT